TGTAAGAGCTACAACTCATTCTTATCAAAGCTTCGAGTCAAGAATACTAGTCAACTCTAACTTGTATGCAATGTATACTTACATGTTAATAACTGAAGATATAGATAAAAGTATACAAAGATAATTTGGTTAATTTTGTTATGGCAATTTATAAACGTAAATTCTTGAATCCTCATGGCGGGCTAACTTGGAGCTTTTGAATGAATTTATTCTATGTCTGACGATATCTGTCGTAAGACGGACGAAAGCTGAACCGTGAGCATCATAGTAAAATCAAACAACTGCAGAAATACATTAATTAGTCATCGTCTTTTGGTGAACCTGTATTATATATGCACATATATATATGATTGCCAGACTCCAAAACATGCTGAATAATATCAAGCATATTGGGTTCTTTTGGAAGGTTTAAAGGATACAGTGACCTGCTTATAAAAATAAAAGACAGGTGAGATTGACCTACGCATCCCTTCGTCACGCACTTTCATACGAAATAAAAGTCTTCACAACAGTTCTATCTCAAGATATTCATCAATACCAGTTATCTTCGAATTGTTTGCCTAACTTGTTTTAAGCGCAAGATTGACTTGAGAATTCATCCTTGCTGGGAGGATGCCTACCACATGAACAATAAAGCAGCTAAATCTACAGCCTCCGCAACCATATTACGATGAATCCTATCTTTTTCATTGTCACCTTTTCCTTTTCAACAAAATAAGACAAGTAGCCAAGCCCAAAAATCATGTGATTTATGGGTTGTTTTATTGAAAAATAGGTTTCTATCCAAAAATAACCGCATCATAGATAGATCCACTTTTTTGGAGAGATTCTTATTCTTCTCGCCGACATCGGCAGTCCGTCTTACACAAAGAAAGACAGGAAGGCAGAGATGAATTATGTACACATCGTAGGATTCACCGGCTATTCAATAAGCCTGGCCGAGCCCAACTCGAAGTGAAGCTCCGGAGGAGGCGATGAGCCCGAGGGCCAATCAGCCACGAGGCAGTCGATCTGGTCTGAGTGGGTGACCCACTGCTGGTTGATTGGCTTTCTCTGGCGGTGGTGCGTGGGCGTGTGTTGAAACCGGGAAAGGCAACCGGGAACGCCGGGATTCGTGGAGGCTTTTAGCTCACCGTCCATTCGCCTCCGTCGACCCTAGGCTGGTGACCTTCATCAAAGTTCGGCGTAGCTGATGCTCTCGTCGTTTTCACGTCGTCATAGCGACAGACAGAGCAGCATCAATTCTCGAGGGTGGTCGTCGTGAGCGGTCTCGGCCGCGTCTGCGAAGTCACACGCTGCGCAGAGCGCGGCCGAGCAGAGCCAGCCCAACGACCGCCACCAGACAGACGGCAGTTCGACCGAGGCCCTTCCGAAGCTGCCCGACTGGTCGGGGGACCATATCGTGTGAGACGCCGTCTAGATCACAAATGGACCTCGTCGACAGACCACCGAGTCCGGGCAGGCTCGACAGGCCGTAAGGCTAGCCGATGCAAGGGTTTCGAAGAGAAAAGAAAGGTGAAGATTAGTTTGGATGAAGTTTTAAGTATATTTGAGTTACTTTTTCGGTGAATTTGTGGCCTGATACGCTGGGTGATGTGGTAAGTTGATAGTTTTGGTGATTGTGCTTTGAAATAGCAAAGAAGGGTTAACGGTGAGAGGAAAAATCTAAAATCCATATAATTCATCATAACGGCAAATTAACTTAAAGCATTAATTGTACTACTAGATCAGTAGTACTATTATTTACAACGAAATTGTATTATATTACGCCATTACTTCAAATTTGAGGAGGCAGAGAAACGGAGCTAACTTTAAGTTAGGCCTAGCCTCTCTTATTGCATATCTTTGTTTGTAGTAGAAGTATCGATGAGGCAAACCTGTACTTTGTCATTCAAATCGGCCAAGTTACTTATATTCTTAATAAGTGATTTTCGAGACTGAGTATATCTTTAAAAAAGGTTTATAGTCACCCCAGATCGGAAAAGGTGATAAAGGACTGATATTTGCAGTTTCCCAGGTGTGGTCGAGACGGCAGTCCACTCTGTAGGAGAGCATATTCTGTTGTACAAGTACCACTCAAATCCTTGTGAGAGAGTTTAACTATCAATCATCCATCTAGTTATGCGACTCAGGAAGACTTTAACTCTTATTCAATATCCACGATTACAAATAACTTTCGATATAAGTATAATTCGAAACTATCAGTAATGCTTGTATAAGAACAAGACAGTCTAGGTTGCGTAAGCTGATTTAGAGACTGATAGCCGAGATTTTCCAACAACGAAGTGAGAATACGCTGCCATTTAATTCCACTTATCCTTGCTCCTCTACAGCTTTTCTCATCCGGGTTGGACTGCAGTTTCAACGTCTCCCAGATCTCATTAACACCCCAAGATCGTTAAGATACCATTTCGTCAAAATCGTGGCGACGTTTACCATTCCACTACATGGATAAGAGTGCTAATGAGTTACATGAAGAGGTGACATTTAAGGCAAGGCAGGCCCCTCCTAACTCACATTTTATAGTGGTATCATCAATTAAACAATCTTATTTTCGATATAAGTGAGGTTCGAGATTATCACTAATTAGTAAATAAAAGCTTAATTACCCTGGATTGCTTAAGGTGATTTAAGAGGTGATAGCTGAGTTTTCCCCACAATGAAGTTACTAGGATGCAAAGAACGTAAAGCTTAGTGGAATTCAATACCATCGTGCGGCCTACTTATCTCATTGTTGGATAAACTCATATATCATTTTTTAAACTACCTTAACAACCTAGGGTAACTAGTTCTCATTCAAGAATAACTGATAATCTCGAAACCAACTTATCTCCAAATTAAAGGCGTCAAGGCCGAAATTTTCGTAATCTTAGAACTTGTATATGAATTATAGTCTACCTGGGTCGCACAAAAAGATTAGGTACTGATAGTTGAACTTTCCCACAATTATCTGAATGCTATTTGCATCCACAAAGGTACTCTTCCATAGAGTTGACTGCTGTTTCGACTACATTCGGGAAACTTCAAATATCAATCCTTCATCACCTCATGCGGCCTAGGGAGACAATAACCATTTTTAGAGATATACTGATAGTCTCGAAATTTACTTACTATGAATATAAGTAGCATGGTTTATTTGAAGGCCAAGATACAGACTTGCTTCACCGATAATCCCACTACAAAAAAATATGCAATGAGAGAAACCAACCTCTATTAAATAACTTACTGACATCAGTGGCAGTGCGGCGAGCTTGGTTTCCGTCGGGGGTGTTGATGAGGCACGGTCGAAGCTGGATGAGAATACCTTTTGAGAAGCAGGACTAAGCAAAATTCAACCATCCGTCCTTCATCACCTTATGCGACCTATGTGGCCCAGATAATTTATTCAAAGAGGTATATGCAGCAACAGTTGATCAGCTTAGTAAAACCAGGAATTCAGAGTCTCTAAGCCTCTTTAATCCTGGGACCATGCTACAGGCTTCTTAGGGCTCCCTTTCTTGGAGATGGCCTATGTAAATGCCTCGGGTATTTAAGATATGAGGATATTCCAGGAAACTTTTGGTAATTTTGACATTCAGCTGAATTTGAAGGATTTTTGAGTATATAGATCTGCGATCTCCATCATTGCTTTTGAGTATGATCTTGATTAAAAGCTTTTAGTCATTCTAGATCATTTAAGGTAGTGAGGGACTAGCAGTGAATTTTCTACAATGAAATGAATAGTCCTCACTAAGCCATTTTATTTTACGTAGCATTGATTTTTATTAAAAATTAGAGGAGGTCAAGTATGACCGAACTCACTATTGCTTATTTTATCCGTAATGTCGAGTAGATAAAAAGAATATTACAATATTCTGGACTTAGAAAGGGAAATTGTGTCTCTTAGCCACTGGGACCATGAATTTCACTTTATTTGACCTTAAAATTGGCGTCATTCATAATCTATTAAATTAAAGCGATTTTAAGCATGGTTTGCGTGAATAAATGGGCCAAGTTGACAAGGGCTATATGGAAAAGAAGATTCCGATCAAATTTAGTGGGATTCGAATTGGTCCCAGTATAAGCATTCGATGAAAATAAAAGATTCTCGATCAATCAGGAGAATTCGTAATCACATGACGTGAGACCACTAAATAGGAAAACCATAATACCGATCAGCCCGAAACGACGAATGATGAATGAGAGAAAAC